GCTCCACTGTTGAGCTTTGAAGATGGAGGAAAAGCTAAGAAGCTGGAGAGGTGAGCAAAGGGTTCTCCCTGAGCCTCCAGAGGAATTCAGTCCTGCTGACACCCACTCAAGATCAAATCAGACCCATTTTGGACTTCTCACCTCCAGAACTACACAATTAGAAATCTGTGTTGTTTTAAGACATCTTGTTTGTGGTAATTTGTTACAGCAGCTGAAGGAATCTAATACACCCCTCCTCCAGACGTCTACTTGTCTGGCTTTTTCTTGTCGTTCAAGGCTCATCTGAAATGTCATCTCCAGCTCAATAAATATTTATTGAATGAGTAATTGAGAACAGAGATGTACATGTGACCCCAAAAAAGGTCGAAGTAAGAGCCCCCAAACTAACACCTGTGGGGTGATGTGTTTTTTTTTTTAATGTTTTATTTATTTCTAGGAGAGAGAGAGAGAGAGACAGCGTGAGCAGGGGAGGGTCAGAGAGAGAGGGAGTCACAGACTGAAACAGGCTCCAGGCTCTGAGCTGGCAGTCAGCACAGAGTCCGACACGGGGCTCGAACCCACGAACCTCGAGATCATGACCTAAGCGAAAGTCGGACGCTTAACTGACTAAGCCACCCAGGTACCCCTGGGATGATGTGTTTAAAAACGTGGTTTTTACTCAACAGTGTTATAAGTTGAAACAGCTTCCCTCAAATGTCTCAATTTCCAGAAGCACGTGAAACTTACAGAGGAAGGAGGCCTGCATTCATGCATAGTGAAAATCAGCTAGAACTTTCTGACATGGCCCCATAGTCCTCCCCTATTTGGGATAAAAACTACACTGCAATAGGCCGTTCCTCTTACTTATGTCTTCTTCGTGGCAGGCCACTGAATTAGCAAGCCTGGCATCTCAGCTTGGGTTCCCCGAAAAGCAAATATTAAAATAGAAAGTATCAGGGTGCTTGGGTGACTCAGTCGGTTAAGTGTCCAACTTCAGCTCAGGTCATGATCCCACAGTTCATGGTCTTCGAGACCCGCATCAGGCTCTGTGCTGACAGCTCGAGGTCTGGAGCCTGCTTCAATTCTCTGTCTCCCTCTCTCTCTGCCCCTCCCCTGTTCACGCTCTCTCTCTCCCTCTTTCTCAAAAATAAACATTAAAAAATTATTTTTAAAAAGAAAGTATCAACAAGAAAATAGAAGGTATGAACAACTAGATGGAAAATCAAGAACCAAAACAAACAAACAAACAAAAAAAAACATTAGCCAAAGGAAAAGGCTCACTGGACGGGCTGAAGAATGGACCAGAGAGGACACAGGGAGGTGACAGCAAACTTGAGCAACAGACATTGTCCTACCTGAAGAGAAGAAAAGATGGGGGGAATAATCAATAGTCTCAGGGGCCCGTGGGACAATGCAGGTGTGACATTCATGTCTTCGGAGTCCCAGGAGATAAGAGGGAAACATGTGGCTGAGAAAATATTTGAAGACTCTCATCTGGGGAGGTGCTGGGAGCCGCACTGGCCTCGCTGGATGACAGTCACAGCAAGGAAATGGTAGCGTTTGTACAGCTCCTGCCATGAGAAACGAAAACTGGTATCTCCTTCTGCTACTACTGGCTCATGTTGGAAATGAGGCTGCTGGTATTGACCAGGCCTCACAATATTCCAGGTCAGACCGATACTCCCCACACAGATTGCTCATAAGGAAAGGCGTGTTCCTGCCTTTTCCAAAGAGACTTGAAGAAAACATTGTGGATGATTGTTAAAAGGCTCTTCCTAAGGGCCTTGCAGATCCAAGACTTACATAATAAGGGAGGTTTGAGTCTAGCCCTGAGACAAAGAGCCTAATTTAGAGTTAAGGACAGATATCCACCCCCACCCACTTGTTTCTGCTTGGAGCACAAGCCGCCCCCCCCAACCCCCAACAAGGCATTTGTTACCAAGTATTTGGAGTGACTTATTCCAGCCTTGAATATGCTGATTGCTCCCTGAGGAGCAACCTACTGAGGAACTTCTTCTTTTGTGATTATGGGAGCAAAGGTATCTCCTGAAAGACCTGTTTGACCCCTGCTCACGGAGAAGTAACTTCACCCTCTTATGCTAAAACGTTGTCTGGTATGCTAAAGTGTCTTCCTTCCTCGTAAGATAAGCATCTAAATCCCCTACCTCAATCACTATTGATAAAGCTTATGCATGAGTCTTCTATAAATCTATGTTCTGGGAAATTCTTACATATCAAAGAAGTTTGTTATCAGAAATCATTGTCTAAGGCAAATGCCACATCTGTGCCGTCCCCCAAACACTTATAAAATAAAGTTGAGCCCCAGTCAGAGCAGAGATGCCTGCCTGGTGACCAGAAAGAATCTCGGGGCTCTCTCATCCCTCCCTCGCCAACACCGTCCATCCCTCAGGGGTCCTGGACGTGCCGGAGCCGGCCTCCGACAGAGAAGTGGAAGTGAGGGAGAGCAACCGACTGTGCCCACCTGAAGGCTGGTGACACTGAGGCCCCTCTTAGCGAATGTGTTGAACGTGCCCCCAAGGAGTAGCTCCAACCCCCGTCCCTCCTGGGTCAGGGCTGCTCTCAGGGGCGCCGGCCAGGGGACTCCTGAGCAGAGGGAACTGTCTGCATTACTGCTGAAGCTATAGAGGACCCTGGGGAGGCTGGGGGGGGGGGTGGGGGATGGTATATGCTGCCTACTGCTGCATAACAAATGGCAGTCCATTAAGTGGCTTAAANGACACTGAGGCCCCTCTTAGCGAATGTGTTGAACGTGCCCCCAAGGAGTAGCTCCAACCCCCGTCCCTCCTGGGTCAGGGCTGCTCTCAGGGGCGCTAGTTAGGGGCTTTCTGATCATATGAAACTTTCTTCATTTCTGCTGAAGCTATAGAGGGGGGGGGGGAGGCTGGGGGGGGGGGGGATTGGGGGATGGTATATGCTGCCTACTGCTGCATAACAAATGGCAGTCCATTAAGTGGCTTAAAACAACCCAGGTACCTGATAGCCCAGCGTCTGGGGGTCAGGAGTCCGGATGCTGCTTCACCGGTCCTCTGCTCAGGGTCTCACAAGGCTGCAATCAGAGTGTCGGTCAGGCTGTGTCCTCATCCGGATGCTTGACTGAAGAATCTGCCTCCGGCTTTATTGGGGTTGTTGGCAGAGGTTATTTCCTGGGGACTGTGTGGCTGAGGCCTTAGCTGTCACCTCAGGTCCTAAATGTCACTTGTAGCTCCTAGAGGCCGCTCGCTGTTCCTGCCAAGCGAGCTTCCTCAACGTAGCTGTTGACCTCATCCGGCCAGCGAGCCTCCCTCTCGCTCCGGGGGTGGGGGGGCTAAGACGGAGTCTGATACAACGTAACCGAATCCAGGGGCGATGTTCTGACACGTCAACAATAAGAATATGAATGTGAATGTGGTTAGAAGCAAGTCACAGGTGCCTTCCACACTGAAAGGGAAGGGGAATCACACAATGTGTGGACGCCAGGAGGTGAGTCACTGGGGCCACCCTAACAGCCTGCCTGTCACAGGTGGACTCAGACTGCCTTGGCTGTGGACTGTGACCCTCAGGGCTGTGCAAACAGGCCTAGGCATCAGTGTGCGCTTGGCTCTGGCTATTCCACCCCCACAATGTGCCGCTGTGGGTGCAGGCCCAGTGGTCTTCCTTCACCCTTCCATTGCTGGCCTCATCCCAAGTTCACTGTGTGACCTCAGGCAGGGTGCTTCAGCCCTCTGTGCCTTGATGTCCTCAGCTACAAAATGAGGCCCCAGGGGGGTGCCTGGGTGGCTCAGTCAGCTAAGCGTCTGACTTCGGCTCAGGTCATGATCTCACAGTTCGTGGGTTCGAGCCCCACGTTGGGCTCTGTGCTGACAGCTAGCTCAGAGCCTGGAGTCTGCTTCAGATTCTGTGTCTCCCTCTCTCTCTGACCCTCCCCCGCTCACACCATCTCTCTGTCTCTCAAAAATAAACATTAAAAAAAATTTCAAAAGAGGTTCGTAGTAACCCCAGCCTTATGGGTGGCTGTGAGGACATAAACTTTATGAAGGGTGTGGGTTCTGATCATGCCAGGAAGTTCACAGATATTTGCCATTACTGTCATCATTATTCTCTGCCTCTGTTTCCCAGCGGACCCTGTTTAGTTCTGCGGGAATGTCCCCCCGATTCTGCAGAAACCTTTGCGTCTCTGGGCATCGTGTGAAGCCTTAAGTGTTTTGGCAACAGTGTCTGGTAAGTGAGGAGTGAGCTCTGCCCTCTGCTCAGGGGCAGAAGCTCTGTTCTGGAATTTTCAGATCTGTCCAGTGGACTATCAGGGCAACGAGTTTTATAAGACATTAATATTTCATTCCTCACTCTTGCACTCTGCGGAAAAGTGTATGTAACTTCTGGGAACAGCTAGGCTCGTGATTCCCGCGGGTCAGCCAGGCCAGGCCTGGCGCCTTGTCCTGGTAGAAGGGGTCTGTCTCTCCTTCTTGGGGCTCTCTCTCCACGGCAAGAGCCAGGAAGGGTGACACAGGTCTGGCTGCCCCAGGCCACCACCCTGGGAGCACCCTCTGCCTCGGAAAGTACGGCTAAGCCTGAAAGCCCTCGGCACATCCGAGGGAGTGCGGGGCAAGGGACGACCAGGGAAAGGCAGGGCCCTCGCGGATCTGCAGGGCTGATGCCTCCCCCCACCTCCCACCCCCATCGTCTCAGCCCTTATCCTTGGGGCGCGTACTAAGCTGCCTAAGGTGATTACAGTTTACCAACTCCCAGAGACTCCCCTTGAAAATGGTGAGTTCCAGCCCTTCTGTCCTTGTGAGGAACGCAAGACTTGAACCAGGCAACCTGAGTTTAAACTGGATCGCCCCCCCACCCCCCCAATTCCTGGACTGTAGCCTTGCCTCAGTTTCCTCATCTGCGGGACGGGGATTGCTAGGGACCTGAAACAGGGAAGAGCCCATCAGCCTTGGCTGTGGCCATGGGCCTGCTCTGCGCTCGCGGCCCCCTCCCCCCAAGCAGTGCCTTGGGAAGGACAGTTGAGGAGCCCCAGGCACAGAGGGCTTGCTTTATTTAACTAGCAGCACCTGGTCACGGCTTTTGCCCCGGGAAGGGTGGCAGATCTTGAGCAGCACCCCGAGCAGGCCCAGGACTGTGCCCAGCAGCAGCACCAACTTTAGCCCCTTGAGGATGGGGCTGGCCTTCCCCTTCCAGGTCTCCCCCTCCTCCCGGTGTGGCCCGCCTTCCTCTCCCCTGAGAGTCTCCCCGCTGTCAGGGAAGGGCTTGGGGTTGAACTGGGCCATGAGCTCCTGCTGCACGAAGCACTTGTAAATGGCTGGCTGGAAGACCTGCAGCTGCATGCCGCCGTTGGAAGGTTCCAGAATGGCGTCCAAGTCCTGGTTGGAGAGCTGGCCCTGCCAGGTCAGGGGCGTGTTGTTGGCTTCCCAGAGGATGGGCCTGCAAAGGAGGACAAGGTCGGCTGCTGTGGCCAGGGGGTACCTAGGGGACCGGCGTCTGAGAGGCGATGGGGACAGCGATGCCCTCCTCCCTGCAGGACAGCGAACAGGGCACGCCCTCCAAGAGCACTAGGCAGCAGTTAGCAGGGGGGAGGTAGGGACAGGGTGGCAGGGAGCTCAGAGCTCCACCCCACACTGAATGGGGGACGGGGAAACGCCTCTAGCTCTTCAAGCCTCCAATTGCTCATCTGAAAACCGGGGGTGTGACTGTACCTGCCTCAAAGGGTGACTTGGAGGAATGAGCAAGAACAGAGCCCCCACCCCTGCTCTCCCGGCCTGGCCTCATTTTTTCCACTCTGCCTCTCGCTTAGGCTGCCCCAGTCACGCTGGCCTCCTAGGTGGTCCTCCAGCATGCTGAGTACCTTCCTGCCTCAGGGCCTTTGCCCTGGCTGTTCCCTCTGCCTTAAGGGCTTTGCCTCAGCACCCAAGGCTGGCTTCCTCAGCACCCTTCAGTGCTGGCAACTTCTCAGATGCCTTCCCTGCCCTTCTTATTTAAAATGATCCTCTCCCCCACTCCCATCCCCCTCCTGAAACTTATCACCACCTAAAATACTGTGTGTTTTTTCCATGGGATTGTTTTATGGCTCCGGGAAGGCAAGTTTGGGATGCAGTTTGGGTTTCACTGCATCCCAGGTACCAAGAATAGCGCTTGGCTTGTACGCGCTCAGTGAAGTTGTGGTAAGTGAGCGAAGCAAAGCAGGCAGAGAACACACTCATCACGGCTGAGGGACAGAAGGGAGGCCCCGCAGGCGATATTGACGAGGCCAATCATACACGCGAAAGCCAACACCCGCTAGAGAGTGGGGCTTTTGCGTCTCTATAGGCATTTGCCCCTTAGACATCACAAGGAGCCTGTGAGGCTGGGGCCATCAAGACCTCTGTACTGAGTTGGATAGCGTCCTCCCCAAATTCATGTTCTAAACCTCAGGATGTGACCTTCTTTGGAAATCGGGGTGTTGCAGATGTCATTGGTGAAGATGAGGTCAGACTGGAGTAAATTCCTGGGCCCTAAAAGCAATATGACCTGTGTCCTTTTAAGAAAGGAGAAGGGGGCGCCTGGGTGGCTCAGTCAGGTAAGCATCCGACTTCAGCTCAGGTCACGACCTCATGGTTCATGAGTTTGAGCCCTGAGTTGGGTTCTGTGCTGGCTGACAGCTCGGAGCCTGGAGCCTGCTTTGGATTCTGTGTCTCCCTCTCTCTCTGCTCCCCCCGACTCTCTCTCAAAAATAAATAAACATTAAAAAAATTTTTTTAAAAAGAAAGGGAGGAGAGGGGCACCTGGGTGGCTCAGTCGGGTAAGCATCTGACTTCTGCTCAGGTCATGACCTCACGGTTCATGAGTTTGAGCCCTGAGTCAGGCTCTGTGCTGACTGACAGCTCGGAGCCTGGAGCCTGCTTTGGATTCTGTGTCTCCCTCCCTTTCTGCCCCTGCCCTACTCACTCTCTCTCTCTTAAAAATAAACATTAAAAAATATTAAAAAGAAAGGGAGAAAAGACACAGACGTGAACACACAGGGAAATCGCCGAGTGATGACAGGGACAGATGGGGGATGGGTGGGATACAGCCACAAGCCAAGGAAGGCCAAGGATTGCCTGCCACTCCCGGAAGCTAGGCAGAAACGAGGACGGGTTCCACCCAGCATCTCAGAGGGCACGTGGCCCTGGTGACGCCTTGACTTTGGACTTCTGGCCTCCAGAACTGCAAGAGAATACATTTACATTGTCTTAAGCCACCCAGTGTGTGGCACTCTGTTGTGACGGCCCTAGGAAACAAACACAACCCCCATCCTACAGACAGGAAGACTGAGGCCCAATGGGAAACCACTGGACCAAAGTCACAAAGCTGGAAAAGCAGCAGAGCTGGGATTGGAGCCCAGGCCTGGCTGAATCCAGAATCCAAGACATAAACCTCACATGAAATGCACTCTACCCAGGCTGGGGGCTTACACAGGGGTGTCTGATGCCCGCCACGTCCACAGCCTGGCCGACCACAGGACTGGCCAAGCCCTCCCAGAGTGTCAGCTGTTCTGGTCTGCCTGTGTGACTCAACTGTGTGTGGGCGCCAGGGGTTTCTTGCCAGAGGCACATCCGAAGAGGCCAGCAGAGAGCTCTGAGCATGCGGGACCCCTCCCCTCTGCGTGAATTAATCATGAAGGCTCCCAGCCCTGGGGGGGGGGGTGGGGGAGCCTGGCTAGGGACCAAGGGTAGCTCTGGGGCCTGCCTCCATCACCTGTAGATAGATCCCAGGGGGCAGGTGAGCCACGCAGATCCCAACTCCTCACTGATCTCAAAGTTGTCAAAGGGAATGTAGTCCAACATCGATGCCGCGCACGGGACATAGCAGGCTTCCACCTGCATCTCGGGCCGCATGCGGCTGGACCACACCTTCAGATTTCCCAGGTAGAGCCAGCAGGGCAGGGCTTCTTCCTGGGGCTCCTCGATGTAGCAATACCCCAGGCGTTTCCGCTCGCCCGGCCCCCCACAGCGGTTACAGTCCTGCCAGGGCTCCCAGCGGGTGAAGACGATCTCTTTGCCACCCAGACTCAGGGTCTCATTCCGCAGGGGCTTCTGGCCCAGTCCCTTGTGTGTTATGTGCAGGGCGCTGACATCCTGGAAGTCAAGCTCATACTGCACCACCTGGTTGCCGTTCTTGTCCCGGCAGTGATAGAAGCCCGTCTGGAAGGGCGACGGACTCCTAATGAGAATGCCGCTGTCAGCTATGACTTCTATGTTGGAAGCACGGGAGAGTGTGTTGGACCAGCTGGTCCCGTCTTGCAGGAGGAAGAAGTACCACTGGGACCCAGAAGCGTTGCAGGGCAAGAAGATGTCATTGTCTGAGAGGAGGGCTTTGTGGCATTGTTTCCCATCAGGGCAGCTGAAGGAGACATAGAACCCGGGCAAAGGGACAGCAAAGCTGAGCAGCAGCCACAGGGGGCTTAGCATTGTGGACTGGGACATGGTGGCAGTAGGCAGGGCACCGCCCTGGCCACTGTGAAGTCACCCATGAAACCCAGGCCTCGGCCCTGGACAGCGGGATGAATAGTAGCCCACCGCATGGCTGTGAGGTCACAATCCCCATCTGATTGGTGACAATTTAACAACTCTATTTCAGATCTATTACACGCCCTCCACTCTGCTGGGATAGGAGGAGACTTAATTTGTCTCTTCAGGGTTTTCTCTACCCTTCCCTACTTTGGCATTAATGTGTCGCATGTGAACATTCAACACATTTCTCCTGAACACCTACTATGTTCTGCACACAATTCTTAGTGCAGAGGGTGGAGGAGTGAATAAATCCTGTCCGGTTACCTTTCTGATTTCCTATGCCTCTCCCCCAGCCCCTCCTCCCCAGACATGCTGGCCTCCCTGCCATCTCCTGAAAACATCAGGCAAGCAAAGGGCTCCTGCCTCAGGACCTTTGCACATGCCGGTCCCAGACTCTTTCCATAGATATCTGCATGATTCAACTCATCTTAAACAAACAAATATTTTTCTCAGTTGTCTCCTTTCTAAACCCTTTCCTACAGTCCTTCTCAGTCCTGAAATTAAAAATAATTATTGTGCAGGCTTGATATGCCATTGCTCACTCATTTCGCAAAAGTTTCCTGAATACCTACCATGTGCTAGCCTTATTCTAATCACAGCCCTGAACAGGTTAGACAAAGCCTCTTCCCCCTTGGACTTACCTTCTAGTGGAACACACAGATAACAAACAAATATATAATACATAATATTAGATACAGCAGTTCTCCTTACTCATGGCAGTTATGTTCTATAAAGTTGCTGGATTAGCAAATACTGAACATTCTTTGTAGGAGAAATACAGACTTAAGGTCCTATGAGCCTTTGATCATAGCATTTTTGTCAACTGCTCAATGCATAACTTTGCTGTATGTGTATTTTTGTTTAAAAACTCTTATTTAATATATATTGCTAATTAATTAACAATGAACTTGTAAACAACAGCGCTATTAATTCGTGCCTGAACATGCTTCTCTAACACACGTGTTTTCTTGACACAAAACATCGCAGCCCTTCTTATGCTTAGAGACACTGGCTAGCCCTTCAGCACTGCCTGGGAGCCATTTTCAATAGTGAAATCATCAACGAAAAGTACAAAAATGCAACAACAACAGAAAAGTGGCACTAACCAGACAGTGAAAAGGATACTTGTTAATAGTATGATAGCTGAAATCAGAAGGCAGTATCTCCCTGTTCAATCTCAGCTGGGAATGTGCATTGTTAAGTGATTCAACTATATCACTCCTCTTTGCATGTCTGCAAATGACTTTGAAACCACCGTGGGCGTTGGCCTGGGGGCCACAAATAAATTTTACTGATAGGTGAATTCACAATTATGGAATCCTCAAGTAATTATGGAATCCTCAAGGATTGACTGATATTCACTAAAGATAAGAATAGAGCAGGGAAGGGGTGCCTGGGTGGCTTAGTCGGTTAAGCGTCCGACTTTCGCTTAGGTCATGATCTCGCGGTTCGTGGGTTTGAGCCCCGCGTCGGGCTCTGTGCTGACTGCCAGCTCAGAGCCTGGAGCCTGTTTCAGTCTGTGACTCCTTCTCTCTCTGACGCTCCCCCGCTCACGCTGTCTCTCTCTCTCTCTCTCTCTCTCCTAGAAATAAATAAAACATTAAAAAAAATTAAAAAAAAAAAGAATAGAGCAGGGAAATGGGGATAGAAAGTGAAGAGACTGTGAGTGTGAGCTATTTGAGGGAGGATGGTCTGAACACTCACTGAGGAGGTGAGGTTTCACAAACACTAGAATAAATTGAGATAAAGATCCGTGTGGATATTTGAAGGAAGAATAGTCCCAAGAGATAGCTAGATCCTGACACGGCTGCTATATTTAAAAGGTGTAGAGGCCAGAGTGACTAAGGAGTAGTGGACAAGGAGGAGAGCGGTGAGTGGGTGAAGTCTAAGTTTCATCTAAGTCTTTGCTAAGACATCCTGCCTTCCTCTCAACCTGGCTCCTTATGACTGGGGACTCTGGTCATGTCCCTGTCCCATGTGGAGACCTCTACAGGCTGTGTTTGGCATAAGCTGTATGTTTAGACTCTGGAACTGCTGCTTCCATGGCATCCTGCTGCCACGGTCACCACAGGAGTGGGCCACGCATCCCCTCCCTTCTCAGCTCTATAAAACTATCTAGTTATGGTCTGCTTCCCAGGACCTTATAAAATCCCTCTATCTGAGACACATTAACATTCATACTTGTGTCATTTCCCCTCTGGCTCCCTCCTTCTCTCTCTCTTCAGCTCAGGGAATCTTTTCTAAACAAGTAAGCAGGGGTATAGGGACACTATGAGATAGCCCACTTCCGATTTTCACATTGTCTAGGTGAGAAGTAACAAACTGGCTGGATACGGCCTAAATAAATGTTTTCATTGGCCTCCCTAGGGTGTTTTTAGAATATTTAAATCAGCGGCCAACATGTAAAAGCCAAGAGATTTCATAGGAGAATCCAGATTCCCTGCTATTCTTTAAATAATGTGGGTGAGGTTTCCACTTACTGCTACAATTGAGAAGCTTATATCAGACCAACGGTCTAGCTAATAACAACTATAGACTTTAAGATAACCATGATTAATATGTTCAGGAGAGGACAAGAAGAAGGTTTGGAACCTGCATAAAAGAATCAAAAGCAAATATTAGAACTAAAAAATAAAATCTGGGAATTGAGAATTCTCTAGAAAGGGCAGCAATCTATTAAACACAACAGAAAAGAAGATTAGGAAAATGAAAGATGGGCCCACAGAAAAATATCTATACTGAAGCTTGCAAAAAAAAAAAAAAAAAAAGATAGGAAAATACAGAAAAGAGTGCAAGACACAGATAAGACATAGCAAAATGTTCTAACATTCATGTAAATAGAGACTCAGAAGCAAAGAAGAGGCAGGCACATAAGTAATATTTTAAGGTACTGAATGAAAACTTTTCAAAACTGGTGAAAGACATCAAGCAACAAACTCAAGATGGCCTTCAAATCCCATACAGGGTAAATATAAATGGAAACACACCCAGGAACTTTATAGGAAAAGGCTGCTGAAAAGCAAAGAAGAAATAATAAAAATGGCCAGAAAAGAAAAAGATACAAATTTTCAAAGCGACAATCAGAAGACTCTACGTTGACTTTTAAAAAGAAAGGATGGAAGCTAGAAGACAATGGAATGCCACCTTCAAAGCACTAAAAGTAAATGATTGCCAATGTAGAATTCTATATGTAGATTTCTATACACCAATTAAAATATCCTTTAGAGATGGAGGCAAAAAAGAATATTTTCAGAAGAAAACTGCGAGGATTTGTTACAGCAGAGTACATGAAAAGTAATGCCAAAGAGAATTCTCCAGGCAACAGGAAAATGATCCCAAATGAAAGCAAGGTAATGCAGGAAAAATAAGCCATCAGAAGAGTAAATATGTGGGTGAAATTAAATTATTTTTTAAGCATTTAAAAATTATTATTTTTAAATTATTTAAAAACCTTTAAATAATTTAAAATTTAAATATTAAAAAATAATTTAAAATGTCTTACAGGGTTTAAAATATATTTAAAATAAAAATTTCTGATCTGATTACAAGAGCACAGCAGATGGAAAGAGAATAAATGGAGCCAAAAGCTTATAAGGTCTCTACATTGTTGAGGTAATGATACAAGTACAAATTTATATTATATCATATTCTAATGAGTGAAAACTAATTTTGTAATCTCTAGAGAACTCATAAAAGAATGCACATCTAATAAGCTAATAGCAGGGGAAATGGAATAATTAAAAAATACTTGGTAAAAGAAATACTTGGTGAATCCAGTACTATGTTGAATAAAAGTGGTGAGAATGGGCATCCTTATCTTTTTCTTGACCTTAGGGGGAAAGCTCTCTCAATTTTTCCCCATTGAATATAATGTTCACTGTGGGTTTCTTTTTTTTTTTTAATTTTTAATGTTTATTTATCCTTGAGAGAGTGAGAGAGACAGAGAATGAGCAGGGAAGGAGCAGAGCGAGAGAGGGACACAGAATCTGAAACAGGCTTCAGGCTCTAAGCTGTCAGCACAGAGCCCGACACGGGGCTTGAACCCACGAACCGTGAGATCATGACCTGAGCTGAAGTCGGACGCTCAACTGACTGAGCCACCCAGGCGCCTCCACTGTGGGTTTTTCATATGTGGCCTTTGTTGAGGGATTTTTTAAAAAATAGTTTATTATGTTGAGGGCTTTTGTCATGATTGCATATGGTACTTCGTCAAAAGACTTTTCTGCATCTATTGGAAAGATCATATAGTTTTTATTATTTCTCTAATTAATGTAATGCATCATGCTGATTGATTTACAAATACTGAACCACCTTTGAACCTAAGGAATAAATCCCACTTGATTGTGGTGAACAGAATAGAAAACCCAGAAAAAACCCCACAATTATATGATCAATTAATCATCAACATAACAGGAAAGAATATCTAATGGGAAAAAGACACTCTCTGCAATAAATGGTGTTGGGAAAACTGGGTCAGTGACATGCAAAAAATGAAACTGGACCACTTTCTTACACCATAAACAAAAATAAACTCAAAATGGATTCAAGACCTAGGTATGAGACTGAAACCATAAAAATTCTAGAAAAGAGCACAGGCAACGGTGTCTCTGACATCAGCCATAGAACATTTTTCTAGATAAGTGTCCTAAGACCAGGGAAATAAAAGCAAAAATAAGCTATTGGGACTACATCAAAACAAACATCTTCTGCATAACAAAGGAAACAATCAATAAAACCGAAAGGCAATCTACTGAATGGAAGAATATATTTGCAAATGACATATCCAATAAAGGTTAGTATACAAAATATATAAAGAACTGATACAACTCA